ATAATTTCCAAAACAGGCTCTGCTTTCATTGATGAAAAATATGACCTTGGACTACAGCTTTCAGAGTGCAAGGCGGTTTCAGATGCGATATGGATAATAGGAGAAATCTGCGCTCTTCTGCAATGAAAAAAACCAAAAAGACGACCAAAACCAGAAATCTACCCCAAACAAAATGAGCAGCTGTTTCTTAATGCTGTGTGGGTTTCTGACAAGAAAATAAACATTAATGGATCTCCACCAATAGCCTTAGAAACTAGCACATCAATTTAGCAACAACATAAATGTGCACACTTCGCTGCATCTATTTATTTTTCTACAAGAAATGGCTGCCTCAGATAAGCTCCTAAACTCAAGCAGTTATCAGATATGTAGTAGTCTGTACTGCAGCTTCAAAATGGTGTCACTTTCCCATGTCTTATCTGTCCTAAGAAGTAAAAAATATGCACAATTTCCCATTTTGTATTTATTGATAGAGTAGGAGCTACTAACTTCCTGATAAATATTTTGGATTGGGCTTGGTGAAGAGGTCAGTCCTGAAAGTAAATGATAAACAAAGAGCAGTCAACATCACAAGGAAGCAAAATGTCAGTTACTTAATTAGGAACTTTGCAGTGGTTATTATTAGTACATAAATATGGGAAGAAATCGTTCATTCTCACTTTTGTCATTGTGTATGGTGCATTGTTACTCTGTTGGCTCTGCAAGCTGTGAGATGAGATGGGAATTGTTATCCTATCGAAGCAATGGGCATGGCTCAGCTCCTGTGTGAAAAACCCTGTATGTTAGCTCTGTTCAGTAGCAAAATAGTATTTTCAAACACTGTGCTTTGTTAGCAGAGGTGGTGCAGAAGACTTCCAGATTTGACTGTGTGGTAAGCAGCCTTTTCTCTTGGTCCAATCAGTTTTTCCTTTTACCTGAAAGAAGAGTTTTTGCTTCTCAAATTTCAACATTACCTTCCTTCTTCCCATCTCAGGTTTTAACCCCAAACATATGTGAAGAATTTATGAAAGAGACCTAAGCAATATATTCTCAAAGGTACTATCTTTTATAGGAGGAGTAATATTGTTAGAAAAAAATCAAAACCTTTAAGGAATATAATCCCATCTTCGGGTCAAAAAGAAACACATCCTGTATTCCTTGAATCCCTACCTAGAGGAAAATAGCCTCTAACAACCTTTTTCTTTTTCTCCTTTTTTTTTTCTTCTTTTTCACCCCCACCGCACAATAGTAACATCTGTACTCCCTCTAGCAGCACATCTAGGATTTCTCATTAATAGGTCATTAATTTGAAAACTTTTACTGATTCTTGTGTTCTCTGTGTTATGGACTAAAGATGAACTTTAAAGCACAACAGGGAATGAAGATGTAGAAGAATGAAACCCCATTTTGAAATCCAGTGTCTTTTGGGGGGAGCTTGCTGCTGCTTAAGGATGCTGACATGGAAAGGGTACTTCTCATTACAGATTACAGGTTTGTGTTTCTGTACCTTAAGGTTCATTTTCAGGTCTATCACATCTAGACAGTTCCTGAGTTGTCTTCCATCATTATTGTGTGGACAGGCAGAAGGGTACTGGGTCATTGAATCTTCAGACAGGAGTTGTGGCCCTCCCTTCTGGGCAGAAATTCATCTAGCCGCAGTAAGAGCTGACATGCAAAAGGTCAGATTACTTGACAGCAGACTGTCTCAGCAGCTAAGCTACGGCCGGTCACAGTAGAGTCGCCACTGGTCAGCTTTCAGTGTGTGATGGAGAAATGAAGGTAGCAAGTGATGCTGCTCGTTACCATCTTGACAAAACTGAAAGCTATCAGCTTTTTCTCCAGGAACAAATATCTTGAAGTATTTTTCCAGTAGCCTTTAAAAATTCACTTCTGTGCCATCTTTCTCCCTCCTTCTTCTCCAGGAGATCTGTAGTTTTGTGCTAGTTGTGTTGTCTTTGGTGAGAGCTAGTGTTGAATCAAGGAAAGTGTAGCTGACAGGGGGGCATCTGAGCATAACTCTCCTCTACCATACTAATTAAGATCCTGCTGCTTTAAAGAAAAGTGGATTCCAGATGTGATGATTAGGTATACTCCTTGATTGAGAAACCCTACAAGGAGGCGGATGAAAGGTGATCAAAGGAAGATTTAGTGAGTGCATTTGATTCTGTATTCAAATTTTATGAAGTTATTTTGAATTGATTTGTGGATAAATAGTCTTTATATCAATGGGAAAGCATTTAGCATGGGAAGGGAAAGATTTTTGAAGTCTATGGAGTTGCTTTGTTCTGTTCTCATTTTTGCCCTTTTTCTGCCCCCCAATTTTTTTTTTTTTTTTAATTTACTGTGGTCATTGCTCTCTTTTTCAAAAGCAGAGGGGAAACTTTTTCTAAAAAGGCTGAACTGTCTACTCCAAGAAACGTTCTTTTAATTCAAACGTATTTTCTATATCCATGCCTCTTGTAGTCATGGTCCACAGTAGGAGCACAACCCTAAAAAACTATTTTGTTTTATAAATGCTGTATTCTCTAAAATTGTACAAAAAGATGCTAAGATATCAGCAGAAATTGCCTTCCACAGACATCTCTTTCCGTAGATTTACAAAGAATGTTTTTTCTTTTATGAAATGCATATGCGATGAAACCTCATAGTTGTATGTCACAGATCTTGTTACAAACTTATGCTTCAGAATTACTCTTAAAAATAAAATATTGTCATGTCCTTTAGTGGAGACTTGAAAAAGTCCCTGGAGAACAATGCTTTACTAGTATTGCATTATCTGACCATGGTAGCTATAGCAGTTGAGAATATGACACAGTCAGGATCTCCTGGGTGCTCTGATTACAAAAATGGTTGTTTTGTTCAATAAGATACAGAAATGAGTGTTTTTATAAAATAATTTGCTTTTTTCTTTATCCAGTTCTAAGGAGATGAAATGGCGTGTTTCTTTGTAACTTGGTCTGCCTTTCTTGTTCCTGTCTGATCCCAAAAGAAGAATTCTTTGGCTTACATATCTGTGTAGTAGTCAAAGAACTTCAGATAAGGGGAGCAAGTGAGGTTGGTTAGTTTATGTAGCTGTAAGTCACAAAACTGAAGAGGTGGTAGATCTGAGCTGGCTGGGTGTATTGTAGTGCTGGAGGCCAGCAGAACAGCAATAAGCTATTTGGGAAGCTCTGTGTGGAAAGGAAAAAGATGTTGTAAATAACCAGCTGAATATTATTTCAGTTATCGGAGTTATTAGAAATGGTGTTTGGCTTAGTGCTCCAATCTGTAACAGAGGTATGCCAGGCCTGAATTCCCTGGCTTCTGCATCCTCATGAAACAGAATGCACATGGCAGCGTTGTGTGGAGCACAGCGGTACCTGAGGATGCCACAGTGCAGGTGCAATTCAAACAATCTAGCAGCATGCGTTCCATTAACATTTGCTAGTCTAAGGTAGCATCTGAGCGATGATGACTTTTTAATGGTTATCTGGGTAATACTCAAAGTAGAAAAATGTGTTTTGTAGTCATTTAAAGACAATTTTCTGTTGACATTAGGATGCTTCTGCAATGTTGATAAATGTCTCCGTTCTTACCACTGCTTTGTCTATGAACAGTAGTTAAAACAACACTGTGGTTCTTTCAGTTCTGCTCTGTCTTCTCTCTGTTCCTTGTCCCCCTACTCCTTCAGTAGGGTTGACTTCGATGTCATTTTGGTAATTCCAAGTGACAGTGAGTTTAACAACCTTCTCTATTTTTCACGTTGGTGTGCCCCAAAACTAACACACAGTTTTCCTTATGTATGCTTTGCTTTACATGATTACGTAGTTAACAGCTTTTACTCATAAATTAGTAGGAGTAGAGGAGAAGCTTTATTACGTTAAAACAATTATTAAACTGTGCTTAATTTTTATACTGTAAGTATGTATTTCTTACCTTGCTATTTTATCAGTGTAGTTTATAGTTTCGGAATAGCATGAAAAGTAGCTGACCTGTATAAAGAACCTTTTTCAAAACTTCAGGAAATACTTCTTTCCATAAAAAAGGTAGTTGCATATGAAAAAAATTGTATTTAAAAGGTTTTGGAAACTTACATGTTTGGTTTTTTTTTAAAATAATGTTATTCTTCTGAATAACTTCTTTATGGCATGTGATTATATTTGTTTATTTCTGCCTATAAAATGATATACCAGAACGTAGTGTTGGCAAGTACGGTATAAGTACTTTTAAATAGATTATGTGTGTGGACTCTAATTTAGTCAGTGTTAAAATTTTCTTCGTTCTCCAAGTGCTTTCTAGTCACTAACTGTCCTGGTTTTGGCTGGGGTAGTGTTAATTTTCTTCCTAGTAGCTGGTGTAGTGCTGTGGTTTGGATTTAGTATGAGAAGAATGTTGATAACACACTAATGTTTTAGTTGTTGCTAAGTAGTGTTTACTCTAAGTCAAGGACTTTTCAGCTTCCCATACTCTGCCAGGTGCACAAGAAGCTGGGAGGGAGCATAGCCAGGATAGCTGACCTAAACTGGCCGAAGGGGTATTCCATACCATGTGATGTCATGCTCAGTATATAAACTGGGCGGAGGTGGCTGGGGGGCAGCAATCGCGGCTCGGGGACTGGCTGGGCATCGGTCAGCGGGTGGTGAGCAATTGCATCATGCATCACTTGCTTTGTATATTTTTTTATTATTGTTACTATTTTACTTTATTTTATTTCAATTATTAAACTGTTCTTGTCTTAATCCACGAGTTTTCTCTTTTACTCTCCTGATTCTCTCCCCCATCCCACTGGAGAGAGGGGGGAATGAGTGAGTGACAGTGTGGTGTTTAGTTGCTGGCTAGGGTTAAACCACGACACTAACCTATTACTGGCAGGGGGGTTTTTTTTTTTTTTTTTTTTTTGGTCTATGTGTATCAGTTAATTCTCAGAATCCCTAGTCTTCACTTGACATCAAGTAAAGGGCATGAGCTGTTCTTTCACTCAAACTTCTCATTGTCAATCATGACAAAACTCATGAATTTTTTTTCTCTCCTTTTGTCTGCAGAAAGAACTTCCTCAGATAAAAGCTTTTTCCACTCTTTCGCCTATCCCAGGATTCACAAAATGGCTTGTTGGTCTCCTATCCTCACAAACAAAAGAACTGGAAAGAAATGAACTTTTTACAGAATCAGAATGGCAAGAAATCTCTGAGATCACAGGAGACACTACTACTGAAACACTAAAGAAACTCTTAAATAACAATGAGTGGGTGAGATCAGAAAAATTAGTTAAAGTGCTCCATTCACCATTTATGAGACTCTGTGCCTGGTATTTGTATGGAGAGAAACATCGTGGCTATGCTCTTAATCCAGTAGCAAATTTTCATCTTCAGAATGGCTCTGTGATGTGGCGGATAAACTGGATGGCGGACACAAGCCCTCGGGGCATTGCTGCTTCTTGTGGCATGATGGTAAACTACCGATATTTCTTAGAGGATACAGCCAGTAATAGTGCAGCATACCTGGGGAATAAACAAATTAAAGCCTCAGAGCAGGTTCTTTCCTTGGTGTCTCAGTTCCAGCAAAATAGTAAGCTTTAATTAAATATAATTAAAACTAAGAACAAGTGTTCCTCACCTATAAGAGCTACAATATTTTGCAGTGTCTATATTTAAATAAGAATGTCCGTTATAAAACAAATTTACTCAGCATGGCAGAATGCCAAGTTATCTAGATTATCAGTTGTCTTGTTTATGTTGCCAAAACCTGATCTGCTGTGATTTAGTCACTGTAAGTTCTAGACATCTGTTACGTGCAAATGGGTTGTTAGTGCAAGTGTATTAAAGGGTGAGTAGAATTCTCTCAATCAGTTTCAACTCAGTGGTAACTTGAATGGAAAATACTTGAGCCGTACCATGATTCTGTTGATAGTAAACCTGTATAAACCATGTCTTCGAAAGGAGCTGCACTTGTTTGTCATAATACTACTATAGATAGTTCAGTACCAAAGAACCTGGAAAGAAGTGCTGAATGAAGGTAAATTTTTAGTCAAATATATTAGCAAAACAGTAATCTACAATTTTATTTCAATATCTGTCTTTTTACCCCTCAAAAACTCTCATGTAAAACCTTTTGGTATTTTCCTTTTTCAAACCCACTAAAAATCTCACTGGGTACTTGCTTTGTTGGAGCACGGAAAAGCCTTGCATTAATACTGTTGCAAAATCAGGATCTCTCAGTGCAGCAGGTATGTAGTATTACATTTGCACTTTTGTCTGCTAAAATATAATGAGCAAGAAAGAAGTGTTCAAATAGGAGAGGGGAATAAGAGAGACTGATACTTAGGGATCAGTTGAGAAGTTTCCAAATATGTATGTTATACTTCGGCTCTGATAATTTTTTAAGTTGATAGAGAGCTCTTTTTAATAAAGAGCTAGGTGTGACCTATAAACCAATAAAACTTTATCAATAAATCATGTCTTGTGTATTTCAGCATGTACCTTCCTTCACTTAACAGGCCTTCCTGATAACAGTATCACCACAGCAGAAGGACCATCTTAACAGAATTTCATACTGTTTTGTAATTTCTGATTTATTCTGTCTGGTCAAATTCCAGTCCTGTTTTCAAGAAAAGAATTCTACAGAGGAATTGACAGTGATAGAGTTCCTGCTTGTGTATGAAAACAGAAGTGAAGAAAGCTGTAAGTGTCCAATTAGCCTTTCTCCTAGAATAAAACTATATAATTGGATACACTTCTTTCATATTCATTATTAGAAAAAAATCCCATCCTCCAAGCTGGTGACTTGTTAGGGAATCTATTATATGTATCTTCCAAGCAGAGAAAAGCTTGATTTAACTTCTGTTCACGGTAGATTTTACAACACTGATAGTTAAAGGAGAGAGTACGTTCACTGCCTGTTATTCCCTTGAGAGCAAAGACATTTTTATACAGCAGCTGGTCATCAGTGGCAGTGATGCCATGTTAGCAGTGGCAACTCTCCTATGCCATGTTGCCCAGATGTTCAGTAATGGCAGAGTTTTCTTTTTCATTATGTTTTTAAGAATAGTTCCAAAAAAGTCAACAGCTTTCTCATACATCAACAGGTTAAAGTTAGTTTATTGATTTTGATCAGATATGATCTAAAAAAAAAATCCTATCATCCCTTTGCAAGCAAGATGTGTCCAGCAATTTTTCAGTTGCCAAAACCACTAAAGAAAAGTTGAGTTCCGCCTGAATTGTGGTGGTGGCATTCTGGTGCATATACCAGGGGCAGCATGGTATAAGCCAAAACATAAGTTGGTTGGGTTTTTTTTGCACCTTCTCTGGATAGCTTGCTGAATGTGCACAAGGGAACACTGTAGAAGTATAAAGAAATCTGAAGATTATTTGATTATACTTTCTTTATTCTCAACTGGGGAGCTAAGGACTAAGGATTAAACGCTCAAAGCATTGGAAACTTTTAGTGAGAGACTTTGAACAGGCAACTCTATTGTGGCCAACCCAAGGAAATAACTTCAGAGTGATTGTCAATTTTTGCTTTTGGATCAGTAGCTATGGTAAGTAGTCTGCACAACCACATGTATGTATAGTCTTTATAGTACTTCATATGGAAGGTTTTAAAGTCCATGGTTCACCCTCAAGAAATGCTGAAAGTTGATCACAAGTATTGAACAATTGCATGTCCAGAGGAGACTTCAGGCTGGAAAAGAAACAGGGGTTGAAGGCAGCTGGACGATTGGAGTCAAACATATATAATCTTTTGGGTTAATTAAGACATGTCCTCTCCTTTCATGGCATTATTACATGAAGAACCTGGTTGCCACTTCTATTCCAAACCCGACATTTTTAAAGCATTACGATGATTTTGTTAAAGTTCCATCTGAAGTTTGTTGTTTTAGACCTGGAACATGAATGTTAGGGAGTACACTCTGTGCGTGCGTGCATGCGCGTGTGTGTATTTTTAGCACCCTGTGTGAAAAGCTTACTAAAAAGTAGCTATCTACAGTTCAGACTATCAGACTGAACAAACTACTCACACATTGCTTTTTGTTTTCTATGTAGCATGTGTATTTTGCTAGTCAGGTTTTTGTACAGAGCCTTAGGGTGAACATACGCATATAACTGTACTGGTACAGAAATTTTCACCATACAAATTACTACAGGACACACTACTTCTGTTTTCAACAGTGGTCATAAGATTGCTTCATTCTCCTGTTGGGTTTCTAAGCTTTCTGAAGTCCTTTAGAATTCAGGTTTCAAGGTGAAATTTGGCTGCTTATATGAATATGTACAAGCCATTCTTGGCTGGGAGGAATAGAGAAAGAGAACCCTCTCTCTTTGTTGTGTTAAGCTCTTCAAGTTTGAGGAAACCAGGTCACTTACTTCAAATGAAAGAGTTCTGAAAATGCAATGATTTTGAAAGATATTTTTATTTTGAAACAGGAGGAGCTATGAGGGCAATTAAATGTGCATCCACCTGGCCACAGTTCAAAAAGAGCTAACGCTCCTGCTTTATTGCAAATGGAAATACAACATAATCCTATATTCTCAACAGCTGGACTCGAAGGATAATGAGTTTTTTCTACTTGGAGCCCCAGAGAAATGTATGAGAATTGGTTCAGTGACATGAAGTGATAGTAGCTTATAAGGAAGAAAAAGGAAAGCTGCTAACACTTTGTTAACACTTCAGTTACTTCCCTAAACCTCTGGCTTCTTATATCTAATATAGATACAGATGCATAGATCTGCCCTCAGCTTAAGGGAAGCAGGCATTTTTTTTTTTTTTTTTTTTTTTCCTCCCACCAAATCTAAAAGTGGGGCCATGCCAACCCAGCCACAGGAGTTCCTCTCAAATTCAAACCTGTGTGTACCCTGTGGTGCCAGGACTGATTGCTCAGCTGCTTACCGATGTAGTTTAGTGGGCATGTCATGAACAGGTCTATCCCCTGTACTTCACCTCACGCATATGCCACATTTCTCTAGACATTGAATTACCAGTCACTCCTGCATTAGCAGTCAATTTAATTTAGTCAAAATTCACAGGAGCTATTCTAAGGTGTTTGAGATGTGGGGCTGAGAAGCAGATTATAGGCAAAGATGTCTCAGCATCTGACTGGAGCTATTACGGATGGGTACATTTGTTACATGACATCTGTTCTCCATCAGAACCCTAGCACCTGCAGAGTTATTTCCTTCAATAGTTGTTACGGTTCTGGTTATTGGTTGTGTTTTGCTTTCTGAGGTCACTTCATCTGTTACATTGATGTTGGCAATGTGAGGCCAAAAATTCCTACAGTGAGTTCTGTCTCAGAATCACAGTACAAAATTAAATGCAAAAGGATCATTTGAAGATGAAGGTGGGACAGTCTTTGCTCATAAAAGCCATCAGCTGTTAAGTGCTATTAGTTTTTTTTCATTGGTCATTGACTCTTAAGCATCTAGCAGTGCTTGGATTTTCCAACTTCCTACTAAAGAGTGATTTTAACATGAACAATGCTGAAGAGAAAAAAATAAATATTCACCATCTGTACTACTTACCGGGACAATAACTGTGTCACTAGAGAGGGATCTTATTCTATCAAAGTGAGTCTTCACAGCTCAGAAGGCCCGTTTCTTTTTCTCCCTCTCAGTGTGTAAAAATTGTTACGCCATTTCTGAGGATCATGCCCATAATGTTAAAGAAGATGTAACTGCCTGTCGTTTCAGGAAGCTGAAATACTAAAAGTTCTCGAAGTCATTGCTTCCTATTACTAGAGTAATGCATTTCAAACAATTTTAATTTTAAGATTATTTTAGAGTCTGTAACACTGCACTGTTTTTCATTTTGAAGTGTCAAGGCTGAAATGATGAGTAAACTTTCCCTTCTGTAAATTGTTCTTCGGATAAAAAAGCAAACAAATACCTTCCCCTTTTCCTGATATTTCTGAATGGCTTCTCGGGTGGTTTCAGATGATAGTGAATACTGTTTTATTGCTAACCATTGAGAAGTCCTGTGGCCATGTATGTGTCATGTTACAAAGTTGACTGCACTGCATTGTGAGCTCTGAATTGTCCTGCATGAATATGTCCTGCCGTGGTACATCACAACAGAAGCCGGCACAGCTTGTGTACATCAGATCCATGCCGCAGCCCTTCCCCTTACCATCCTGAATATTAGAGGTTTCTCAAATGTACCTCTTGGGAGTCAACTGTTTTGCAACTGTTACATTAGCAAAATGAAAGAATACCAGTATCCCTGTAGTTATCGAGGTTTAAGCTGTTAGAAGCAATGGTATTGATAGCTGTAGAATAATACCCAAAGGTATGACTTATGGGTGGAAAACTGGCATTTAATAAAAGGGCAATAGCTTAAAAATCTATAACTTCTTCCATTGTTTGGTTCTAAAATGAGGCATTGTAAAAACTGAGAATTATTTGGTAAAGTTACAGCTTTCCACTACTGCCTTACATCTACTTTTCAGCAGCCTGCACAGTTCTCATTTTATTCTAGTATTCGAACAGGGTGACATGCAGGTTTTTGCACTGGGTAGTGGGGCAGTGATTTTGAGTGCAGGTTTTTAACCAGTACTGCTGAAATGAACGTGACAGTAGGTCATGAT